CTGAAAAATGTTGGGTATACTATGTAGACTGAGGAAGCTTGTGTTTCTGTGTTGTTCCTTAATAAAAAAATGAATTAAACAATAATTGTGCACACTGGGCTGAACATGAACAGCACATCATGTTTGGTAGGGAAACATGAGACGGGGACATGTGAGTGTGGAGAAGAGGAAACCATAGAACGGTTGTTTTACGTGGCAGGAGACACAGGTTCAGAGAAACAAGCTGAGGAGACATCTTGGTAAAATGAAATGAGACATTGTTGATTTATTGCAGAAAGATTCAGGAGACAGAGGCTATCAGGCTACATTTTATTTTTTAAACAGTGTAGGTTGTATAACAGTGAAAAATGAAAATGTAAAGTGGAAAAATGTTGTTGTTGTCATGCGGTGCACGCGCCTTACCAGGTGGTGGCGGTAATGATTCCTTCAGTTGTTTAACAACCGCCAATAAAACAAGAAGAAGAAGAAGAAGAAGGAGAAACAAAAGAAGAAGAACTTAGGTACAGTAATGTTAATTTATCTGTGTTTGCTGTAAGTCCATGTGTCACGTGACCGTGTTCCTGGCAGCTGGAGTTAACGGGCTCAAACATCTGGACTTCACTCGAACAATGGCCGTCACTTCTCCACATGTTCGGTTACAGCACGTTCAGTCCAAGCATATCTGGGTCCCTCTTCCACCCAAATATAAGTTACATTTCAAAACTCCAAACAATATTTGTCCTTCTAACGAGTTGACCAGAAATAGATTTAGTTTGAATGTGATAAATGTTATATTGATGTAACGAACAGAACATTTATTTTATGTCTGTCGTTCTGTGAACACGTCATGGAAATCCCTTCATGATCTCCTGACCATCAGATCCATGAACATGGACTCCTCCGTTCAGAATATATTATATGATATGTATCTGAAAATAAAGATGATACTTTGTCAATAACATGATCATGATATTAAAATTCTACATACATATGGCAAGTCTAAACCATTATGGTCTGTATTCACCTCGCTCACATAATAAAGCCCTCTGACAAGTTATTTTACTAATTATGTAGATTCTTAGATAAACAGTTAGTTGTTTGATTTACTGGACTATATTATTTGCAAACTCTCAAATAGTATTATTACCTAAATTTAAGTTTATGATGTTTGATGTGATAATTGGTTTTAGAAGATGTTGACCTTGGGAGGTATGGTTGTAGATATTTGTATATGTTTATATGGATCATTGTCCTTTGTTGTTCTTTTGTTCAGTAGTTCAGTAAAGTTTAATAAAACCCTCAGTGGAAGCTCGAGTTGTGCTGCGTGACGTCATGGTGAGGCGGAGCTGCCGCGCGCACGTTCAGGCCTGGACACACAGTGAAACTAACTTTTACAGGTAGTTCAATGATCACGAGGACTCTGTCACAAACAGGCGTGTTTGGGAGCAGCTGGTGGGGTGAGTGCCTTGCTCATGGGCCCAGACTGGGGCAAATGAGGGTGGAGGCAGGTGTGGGTGTTCCACCTCTTCCACCCACATTTTCAATGGTCAAGTTGTTCATCATCATTCGCAGCACATGTGGTACACGTGGTGGAACGAGCACAGGGTCCCAGTAAAGTAAAAGTTGTAAAGAAAGCAGTAATAGGATCCAAGACATGAACTAACAATACACTAAGTACTAGTACACAAACAATACACCACATTTTGATGTCTGTCCTGGGAGTCGAACTAGCGACCTTCCAATCACAGGCCCTTCTTGCCTCTGTGCCACCACCCCCAGCTTGCTTAGAACAAGGTCAGAAGAAGGTCGTGGTGCTGAAGCTTCAGGGAATTTGTAAGGAGCTCAACTTGACGAGGGAAACGTTCCCAGTTCGTACTGGCCATCTGACCCAACATGCTTACTGTTCCCAGTTCGTACTGGCCATCTGACCCAACGTGCTTACTGTTCCCAGTTCGTACTGGCCATCTGACCCAACGTGCTTACTGTTCCCAGCAGCGTCTCCTTGTCCGGGAGCAGACGATGCCTCCTTTAGCCGGGGCCGAGCTGGTCCACACACCTGTGCAGCTGTACCGATACCTCCTGAGATGCTGCAGGCAGTTACCGTGCACCACCGTGCAGCAGCACTATCGCCACGCCATCAGACAGGTGGAGCACGTTGCACCAACCACACAGTTTCTCATGTCTCACTTCATGAATATATTTTTATTAGTATTTACTCTGTACACAAGAAGCTGTAAAGACCTCGTGGAAAATGTTTAATTTGTTGCAAATGTATTAAAACAGTAAAATATTCACAGAGCACAGGGGGTGACGTGCTCAGTGAATACACAGTGTAGCTTTAGTTTCAGCACCTCATATCAGCCGAAAGGATGTTTGGTGAGGATTTAATGTTGATTATTCATCTCACCGCCGAGCAAAGAACAAAACCTTCAGCTACACAAACTGCATTTCCTGTGACAATGCAGGGAATGCTTGTTGCTGAAAAACAGCTGAAATTAGCTAAAAACAGCTGAAATTAGCTGAAAACAGCTGAAATTAGCTAAAAACAGCTGAAATGTAGCTAAAAACAGCTGAAATGTAGCTGAAATGGAAGAACAAGCCTAAGTTAGCAGAAAGAGCACATTTGCTGGATTAAGTTTAAATACTGTATTTTCTGCCGTACTCGTTGCCCCGCCCTACAAGTCCCATCAGTCCAAACATGTCAATAAAGTGGACAAATCCATAAATATGTGGCTTGGCCGTGCACGTCGCAGGGCATGCAAATTATGCAAAGCCTGTGGAAACTACGGTAAGCACAAATAAGCACAAATATTGGACAATTAGCTAAAAAAGCTGAAATGAGCAAAGACTAGTTGAGAAGGCAGAAAGAAGCTTAAACTACCAGAAGGAAGTGGAAGGAGCTGAAATGAGCTACAAATGTGGAATTGGCTGAAAAAGTTAAATTTAGCACAAAACAGCTAAAAACAAGCTTAAATAGCAGAAAAAGCTGAAAGGAGCATAACAAGCTAAAATTAGCATAAAGAAGTTAATTAAACTGAAAGAAGCAGAAATTATGAGAAACAACTTGAGTTGATGTGAAAACAGCTGGAATGATCGTGATTGGCAAAAAGAAATCCCAGCTGTTGGTTTGGTTTTACTGGTCCACGTGAAGTGTTGCTGGCCCCAGACTCCCAGTCTGAAATCAAACCATGGTTTCACTTGCAGGCGTACAACAGCCACTCGGATGAGGAGGACCCGGAGCGAGTGCAGATGATCATCCAGAGAGCCCTGGCAGATGCAGACTGGATTATAGATAAAGTAAGGGATTAAAATATGTTTCCATTCATCACAACATTCTTCTTAAACGTGTGCTTTCATTTACAGTACGCCAAGAAGACATGAGGCCGGCGGGCGTGACTGCTGGGTGGCAGGCCTGTTGTTTTCATGATGCATTGCGTGTTCCAGCTGTGGACACATGTGGACTCTGTAGAAGCTGGGCTGCTGTCTAGACAGGAGCATACCTTTAAAACCTGTATGGACTGGTCCTTTCCAGATGTGTAAGCTGTCTATGCCAGAGGCACTAATTATTTTTGTTTTTTGTTTTGTTACCTTTTTCTTTTAGCCATCCTGTTTGTAAAAAAAATAAAAACCTGCAGTATGACTTTTTATAACTGTTTATTGTTGTTGCTGTTGTCCATTGTTGTCATCATTCTTTGTTAAATCAGGTCTCTCTTGTAAATGAGTCCTCGAGGCTCAGTGGGATTTACCGTCTAAATAAAGGTTGATTGATAATGTACCCCCACACCAGCAGAGAGGCAGAGTTTCACGCTAAACAGGCTGGATAGTCCTTCTCAAATAGCGGGGCGGCCCCGGTGACCCCAGGAAGCGTGTTTTGCAGCAGGGAGTAGTGTTTGTACCGTTCTCGTGTTGTCAGGGTGCGCTCAGCAACTCTCAGGCTGACTAACAATAAAGTTATTAACAAAGATGACTGCCTTGTTGTTTGGGGAGCCATGCTTGAACCGTGTCTCCCCCTCTGCTGCGGTGTTTCTGACGCTCTGGACACCTGCCACCCACAGCACACATGCAACAAGAGTATAAACAAAGCAAGGGAGACACCCCTGTTTTGTGTTGACAGTGTTTTAGTTTTCTGTCTGCACGACTTCATCAGAGCTCAGTGTTGATGTGACGCTGAGCTGTGGCCGAGTGTGGAGCAGCAGTATCCAGAGTCAGGCCATGAGCAGTCTTCCTTTTGCAACATCTCATCCTCTGCTGCCCTGAAGACCAGGTCCAGGTGAACATGGAGCAGGAGCTGCTGC